TTTTTTTTTTTTTTTTTTTTTTTTTTGTTGTTGGTGACAAATGGATCTTTGACTATATAAGACTTCTTGGACAAGTCAACAAGATACTCTTGCCCCATTTAGTATCTACCTTACTCTTTTATCTTATATACAATTGCTTTAGCTTTTAGTTTTTTAAGCAATAAGATTATGATAAAATTTTACCTTGCTGAAATATCATTTTAAATTAAAAGTTTATTCGGATAAATTTACATGGTAAAGTTAGCATGTATTCAAAAATTTCAGGAAAAATACATTGTAGTATTACAAATAAAGAAATACAACAAGATGCAAATATTTAGAAAGTTAGTAAAATATAATCTATTTCTCTTTCTAAAGAAAAAGAAATCATTATTCTTTGAGTTTTAATTCAATATTTTGTTTGACAAGAAATGTTTTTGGTTTCTTTTTTGCAGGAATAAGCGGCCAAAACTAACTTGGACCGTCATTTTGCAGGCATTTCTGTCGGGGCTACTAGGGTAAGTGACGCAACTCTTGAATTTCAACAAACATAAGGGCCGTAAACATAATCTCAAAACTTTAGGGTGGATAATTGTAATACAAGATAACTACAAGGGAAATGAATATAATTCACCCAAACTATTGGGTCCAATCTGTAACTCCGTAATGAAATGCCAAGTATAGTACTTTATCTACAAATTACATCAATTAAAACAAGAAAGTGGGACTTAAATTACATGAAAAGAATAAAAGATCAACTTAAAAAGGTGTGCAATCTGTTTAGGTAGGATAAAAGATATCTTGGAAAAAACGTTTATGTCTTATCCCAATCCCCAAAACACATTGTCTATCTGGAATGGCCATTTAGTTTTCTTAAACTTTTGCCAAGAATCAGCTTATGATATCAAACAAATAACTCATTACGCAAATATTTAAGAGATAATTATATTATTTTAAAACAATTACTACATCATTTATCATATTAAGTCAATTGAAATTCGCTGTTAACAGTCATTTCAGATTCTCTAGACAAACTTCAGATAGTATACTCATGGATATGCATAATAATGCGCAATATGGCAATGCCTTTTGTTATGATCCTATTGTAAGAGTCGTTAAAATGGGCTTAGCCTGTGAGGTCAACCCAATTCAGTCCGTTGCTTGGGTAGGATTGGATTAAAAAAAAATTTAGCCTATTTAAAATTGAGGCTTATAAGATCGGCCTAAGTATGTCCGTTAGCCCTTGAGGCTTAACCGATGTTGGACTTGGGCCGGCACATGGGCCAAAAATTAATTAAATTCAAATATAAAAATTTAATATTAAAAAAAAAGTAAAAACTAAAAAAGACTATTAACATAATTTTCATTCCTCAACCCTAGATTGCTCATTTGCTCTTCCATATCAACTAAAATTTAAATTTTTGATGTAGAGTGACTAGATTAGTTTTTCTTTTGCTTAATTAATAACGAACTAAAAAAATTTTAAGTGGCCAATAATAATTTTTTTCCAAAGAAAAATATTACTTTAAGTGGCCAATGATCAATTTAAATTACTTTATTATATTATTAACAATAAAATACTTTTCAGTATAGAAGAGGATCATTTTTAATACCAAGAAAAAAATTAACACTACTTGTAAATTTCATATATATTAAAAAAATTTATGGACTGTAATAATAAAATCAACAAATGGTGTTAAACCTGAATTAAAAGACTCGGTTTATAAACTTATTGAAGCAATTCATGAACGTGGGGAAATTGAAAAAAAAGTATTAAGAAAATATTCATCTAATGTAAAAATAAAATATATATATA